TATTTAGGTTTCTTTAGTTATCATACCCAAGTCAGATAAAATTACATTTTTGACACTTGAATAATTGTTTATATTTGGAATTACTGCCAAATTCCTTATTAAATTTGCTACCAGTCTTTGACACAATATTTTCCTATTTTAGTTGAAGTAGACTTGGATTCAAATTTTATGTTTAAGTTAATTTTTAAGGGCTTATACTTTACCTAATACATTTACAATAATAGCCTGTTGGAAATTTCCTGCATTCATATTTCATGCCAACAAATTGGATGAGGTAGATGAAATGGAAATCTTCCTAGAAACATAAAACCTACAAGAATAACTTTAAAGAAATAGAATATCCATGCCTAGTAAGGAGATTGAATCAATAATCAAAAATCTTTTAGCAAACATAAACCCTTGTTTTCTTGGTTTCACTGGTGAATTTTACCAACCATTAAATAGCTAACACCAATTATTCCCAGATTTTTCCCAAGAAATGAAAAGAAGAGAACTCTACCAAACTCGTCCTGGAGGCCAACATTGCCCTGATACCATAGCCAGACAAAGATACTAAAGAAAGAATTCTACAGACCAATATACATTACAAATGTTGACACAACATTCCTTAACAAAATAAGGGAGAAACTAAATGAAGCAGCATATTGAAATAATTATACAACATCACCAACTGGAGTTTATTCCTGCAGAGAAAAGATGAAGTCCTTTCCCAAAACTTGGTTTACATAGCAAAACTCTTAGCACCTTAGAATAGGATTTCCTGAGTTACACACTAAAGGAGAGAGACAGAGAGAGAGAGAGAGAGATAACCAAGCAAGCCTTCTTTGAATACTTTATATTCACTCTCACATACTATTAGATGTGGCCTCCCATGGAACTCACGGGAATTCTCTGGAGTCTTCTTATTTTTCCTCCAGTACTGGGGATTGAATCCAGGGCTTTTACACTAAGCTACATTGTAAGCCCCCTTTTTAAGAAAAAAAAAAAAATTAAGACAGGATTTTGTTAAGTTGCTAAATTGCTTAGGCTAGTCTCCAACTGGCAATACTTTTGGCTCAGCCTCTTAAAAGTGCTGAGATTATAGGCACGTACCACCATGCCTGGCTTTTCTGCAGTTTCAGAAGCTCTAGCAGAACATTACTACTGTTTCACTGAAATTTTTCTTGCATTCCTATTGCAGGTCTCCTAATATATGTTCTCTAATATGCTCCTGTAGTATCTCCTCTCTTAAAATGCAGACCAAAGTGGCTCAGGAGGAAATCCTTTGCATTCAACCTCCCTGTGTCTCTGTCTCCCTTTTTCTCCATGCACATCATTAAAAGAAGCACCTCTTTTTCTGTCTCTGGAAGGCACTTTCTGGAAGACAGGTGAGCTTAGTGGTAGAAAGAATGCCCTCTATAGATCCTGAAAGAAGCTCTGTGATCATAAGAATATCTTCGTTCTTAATGTTATAGCAACAAGGTCTGACTTTAGTTATGGATATAAATATTTTAGCTTAACATATCTAAATAGTATGCCTGCTGATGCATTATCCAAATAGTATGCCTATTGCCAAGAATGTATATATTTTCTTTGTTATGTTGACCTAAATTTAAAAAATTATTAAAGCCAATACTGTATATCTTAATTATCCCCAACTGTAATATATCAATTTTTGTTGAAAGAAATTTGACGTATACTAATAAACCTTTATATTCAAAGCGGAACTTTTTGTCCAAAAGTTCTTGCTTTTTACTTTCTTGTTGATAAAATTGTCCATATTCCTTCCAACTGTTCTCTTTTTAGTAGAAATGAGAAAATAATTTATTCAGAAAAGAACAAAGAAATTATTTTAAAATTAAAAATTCACTTGAAAACACTCAAAATCCTCCCTGGCACGCCCACTTATAATTTGCCCTTTGGATAACCACGATAGATACTTTTCTGACTTTCAAGGATCATACTAACTAGAAGAGAGAAGTGTCTGCCTTTCTCTCTCTCTCTCTCTTTTTTTTTTTTTTGATACTGGGGATTGAACTCGGGACCTTGCGCTTGTGAACCAGGCGGCAGAACCACTGGGCTAAATCCCCGGCCCCTGTCTGCTTTCTCTTACATAGATGTAAACCATTATATCCATAGCTCTGGGACACATTTTAAGATTAACCATGATTGGGAGTACCTCAGAGATAGAGTGCATGCTTAATGTGTACAAGGCTCTGGGTTCAATATCCAAAATAATAATAATAATAAAGATTAATAATAATAATTACTCTATTTAACTACTTATCTTCAAGAATATTTCTACCAATATATTGAAATATCAGACATTATTTGTCTGAAGGTTCAGTTCATGTGGAAGTTTATAAAAAAGCAATTGTACCTTTAGAATAAAAAACATCTTTCTTCTTCAATAAAAAAAAGAAGTGTCAGGCCCGGGATTTAGCTTAGTGGTTTCGCCGCCTGCTGCGCAAGCTCAAGGACCCGAGTTCGATCCCTGGTATAAAAAAGAAAAAAAAGAAGTGTTACTATTTCTCTGACATTGTTTTTTTCTATTTTAATAAACAAATGGAAATACGTCTGGCTTGATTCATACAGAAACCATGCGTCTTTGGTCAGATAACTTTTGACCATA